GGGGGGGAGGGAGAGAGCGGGGGGGGGAAGGGGGGCAGGCGGGAGGGAGGCAGAGCCGGGGGAGGAGCGCGGCCGAGGCGACGGGAGGGAGGGGGCGCGGCAGGGCCCGCACAGCCTGGGTGCCCCACCAGGGACCCTCCCCGAAGGCCTCCCCCAAACATTCCCCGGAACTGGCCCTCCAGAGGGTTCAGCTCAAGGCTCTCGGAACTGTTACTTCGGACATTACGCCCGCCGCGGGGGCGCTTCGGTTCACAGGTGCGGGGACTGAAGGGACCCAGCAGCCCCAGAGAGTCGTTGCTGCCCACCCGCCTTCCTTCCCGTCCCCTCCATCAGTTCCGATCGAGACAGAGGTGTGACTTGAGGCAGGGAATGTTAAATGGGAGGGAAACTCCCAGCAGAGCCAGAGCAGAGGGCCAAGTATGGGTCCCCTCCGCAGCACCCAGCGAGGAGCTTTAACCCCGGGGCGCACACCCTGGTCCAAGACCTTCTCAGTCGCCGGGCTGGGGCCCTGGGGTGACCCCACGCCTATGGGCGATGGACCTGGCCTGGTCGGCGCCCTCCTGGGATCTCTCCGCCACCCCAGGTGTGAAAGGGAGATTGGTTTAGCCCCTGCCTTGGATGAGGACAGCAGGGCGTCGCCTGGGGGCAGAGCCATGGGCAGACCCTTTGCCCTGGTCCCCACAGGATGCTCAGGTCCTTTCTCAAGCCCTGGGGAAGAGGGTGAAGGGCAGGTATGGAACCTACTCGGAGCACTACTCGGCTGTGTTTTTGAAGTTAGTTTTAATTGGAGAATATGACCCGAGCCCGGGTGCTTTGCTTTCCTCTGCCTGTTTCTCATTTTAACATCAAAAACTGCCCGTTCTGGGGGGGCAAGGATCAATACGGGGCCTCCCACTGTCTAGATGGGAGCGTCAGGAGGGCAAGGGCTGCATGGACCACTTCCCCGGTGTTCCCACACAGGGCAGGCTTCTGCCGTATTTGCTGAATAAATGAAGTGAAGTGACTCTAGTCTCTAGTTTCAGATAAAGAATTCGGGCTCCTAGGGCCCTTCCTGCTCCCCTTGCACCCTCTCTTCACTCAGCAACTGGGATCCGCTTATAAAAATGGAGGAGGTGGAGGGAGGAAGAGGGAGAAGGATTTACATTTAAAGGAGGATCAGGTTTTCTGCTGATGAGATGAGGGGCTGACAGGCTAATTTCAGGGCTAAAACGGGAAGACGGGTGACCTCCCTATAATGCCCTCCCCCATCAGGGTGGCCAGAGACAGCCTGCTCCTCCCCCCTCCCCCCACAAACACGCCCAGCCCAGAGGACTCTACGCCATTAAAAGACTTTATTACCATTTTAGAGAAAAAAGAAACTAGATGAGCAAAGGGATGAAATGAAATTGCCTTAATCCCATCACCAGGGACAACTGATGCTTTACATACTGTTTTGTAACTGGTTTTTCGTTTACTTTTTTGCTGTCAAACTTTCAGATTATTATTCTGTTTATTTATATATTATAACTATATTTTCTGGTGCATCCTTTTCTGCTTCCTTAGCTGGTATTCCTAGACATAGAAACCACGGCACAAACTGTCCAGTTTGTATCAGTGCCCCCGTCACACACTGCCAAGCAGTCCTCTGTGTTACTGGGTCTTGGAAGGTGACTGCTTCTCTCCTGCCTTCCCACCCTATTGCTGGGCACTAGGTTTAAAGAGGCTTGTCGCCGCCCCCTGGGACTGTGGCTTCTTCCCAAGTAGGATCACCCTACTGGGCCCAGAACAAGTCTTCCAATGCTTTCCTCCCTGGGCCCCTCTCTTGCCCTCACTGTCCTGGCATCATTGGGTGCTCTGCTCAGCTTCCACCCCAAGTTGACTGCAGTCAGGATATATATATATATATATATATATATATATATATATATATATATATATATATATATATACAAACAGCGC